GCAGCGCTAACAACCCGACCAGATACATTGTGGATGCAGCAGATCGGGCTGCCTTACCCGTAGCCAAGGAGGAATTGCATGAGCTAATGGGCAAAGAGACGCTCAACGGGATTCCGCTGTTGGTCCTCGGGAATAAGTCCGACCTTCCGGAGAAGCTGTCGGTCGACGACCTGATCCACGAGATGGACCTGAAATCCATCACTCATCGCGAAGTGAGCTGTTATGGGATCAGCGCTAAAGAGGAGACAAACCTCGATGCTGTTCTGCATTGGTTAATTGCTCGAGCCAGTCGATGAACGGCGTGTCGTCAGCGACTCCGCTTGAGTAGTGCTGGGGGAGTAACCCCTTGGTGCTTCACCATCTTCTTTCTTTGATCCCATCCACAGGATGGTATTCTTGTAGACTGCAAAAACGATGCGGCTCGCAGCCCCGATGTAATGATGTGAACGACCGTGAACCAGACACACATTGAGCTTCAGCGTAACATTTGTCCAATCTTCAGCACCTCACCCCTGTCATGGAGTCATTTGGTTTGGTTTTCAGCAATGATGTCAGCTTCAATGTACTTTTGTGTATTTTATGTTTCTCAGGCAGTCCTCCATAGTGGAAAAACCTAAACCGCGTGGGTTGCAGACATGGACGAAGAAGAAGAGAAAGAACTGCATAGTTAGTAGCCCAACGATCAAGATAATCGAGACGCGCGCGAAAGAAAGAGAGCAAGTTGGGGAGAAATCAATCAATGCCCAACAGGCACATGATCACCAGCCAGTCCAGCAGCAGCAGCAGAAGTAGCAGGTAAATAAACACCAACAAGTAGGCGAGTGAACCCAGCACCAAGGTCGGAAAGAAAGACAGATAGAACAGAGAGAGAGAGAGAGACAAAGACGCGGCAATCTTGATTATTTGAGGGCCAAAGAAAAACAATAATAATCCAAGCAGGATGGCCAACAGGGCCACACACAGACCAACTGATGCGTTGGCAATGCAGATGCGCAGACGGGAACTAATCAAGCCTCCCAGCAAATCCCACCCCGCCAAACAACCTGTACTTCCCCCCCCTCTTCTCTCCCCCGGAGCATCTGCGAAGGTTTATGGCGGTTCTGGGATCGGTTTGATCCTTTCTCTCTTTTTCCTTCCGAAGTAGTAGTAGAGTGATTATTGCGTTACGTGTTTGATGATTTGGCTTGACTGGTTATATGCCGGGTTACTTTGCGGTTCTGCTTACTCGTGCTCGGTGGATTTGTTGAGTGGGTGATGGATGGTACATGAACTTCGAGGATGAGCTGGGTACTATTGCTTAGATACTTACATTGTGAAGTAAGTAGCTGCGTGGTTACGTATAGATCGGCTCCCCTTTGCTGGTAGTGATACAGATAAGTACCTCGAGTCAGTGACTTGCAGGGAAGGCGTGGCTAAAGTATCTATCTGCACAGTAGCCATTCTTAGTAACGGGTACTCTATAACTAGCATTTGAATACCTCTAGGGAGTATCTACTCTCCGCTCAAATCTGTAAGTAGCAAGCCAGTCTCTATCTGTGACCTATCTAAGTAGTAATTCTCTATCCTAGCTAGCCTCATCTTCACGTGTTTGATGTAAATGACAGACGAATTAGCAGAGCATCCTATATCTATCTTCCTATCTAGTATAGACTACACTGAGGTGACTAGTAATCACCCCCGCCATTAACCTGAAACATGAGCTATCTAGGTAGTATGCCGAATTAGTGCCGAAGATTGAGATGAGTGGGCTTTGCCAGGCTCCGTTCATCCAGCCTCCATTCATGTCTCGAACGATAAGCACTAATTGAAAGAAGTGCAGCAGGCTATCATAATAGCAGAATAGCTGTATAGTGCACCTCGCTTAAGTATCGTTTCGAAACTGGCTATGTCTGTGACGCTAGCGTGTTGAATATGATATGATACCTTACAATCATCGAGTTGCTCGTTTTGAACGATATACTTCTGGATTAATGCGTTCGTAGATGCTTGCAGCGACAGAGTAAGCAAGAAAGTAGGTATGACATGGCTTACTGTACCTTCTTTACGTGAGATGAGAGTATTGACAAAGAAATCTCAAATCATGGCCGGAAAAGGCAATCCGGACATGCGGCGGAATACTCCGTAGAGACATGAGACTGGATAGAATTCTTCCGGATACTACTTTTGCCCCTACGCAAAACAATAATGGGTGGAGGATTGCGATCGAGGCCAGGTCATGGGTACAGTGATTATTACTTGGTTACTGATCTATTGCATGTCATGTCAATGTAGCAAGCAGAAGCGGTCAAGCAGATGATGTTGCTGCTACTGCTGGTGGTGTTGTTGTTCGTAAAAAGCTCGTGGTGGCTGTGATGTGAGTCTTTAGTGAGTATCTGTATCGTGCCGAGGCACCAAATACCTGCCGACCGTTCAACGATGATAATAGGTGCGCTGGCAGCGGACCCAAAATTGGACAAGCACACCATGATTATGTCTTGGTTGACTTGACTTTTCGGAAAACTGAGGGGAAATGACAAGACAAGACATGGTGAAGAGTGGTTCCAACTCAAATGATAGAGACGAGTGGATGAAAGAGGCACGCGATGAAAAGTTGTAGTTGAATAATTGGACAAGTTGAGAACAGGCACCCGAATTTTGGAGGGACAGCAGTGGGTGGATAGGATAATCGACTAGTCTAGTGCCGGTCGTTGCAGTCACAGGCTCCACCGGATGCGATCCAAGGTCTTAGATACGTAGTAGTATCCTCTCGCTTTCTTGACACTCTTAGTTTAGTGGCTGGTTAAAGTCGTGTCAATCAATATGGAGAAGAGGTCCGGTCTGGTCAGGCAGGAACGGTGGATGAACGCGGTGTGTAGATCTAAATGATTCATGAACCATTCATTTATGGTTTACTGTCGGAATTCGGAACAGCAAACTAGTTAACTTTTATTCCCCTCTCTTTTACTAATATTCTGGTTCACTGCTACCGTTTGATGTGTCGTGTGGCTACTTGGAAGTGGAATACGTACGACATTTTGCCAGCGGTGGGGTTGGGAAGGGAAAAGAATACTACTAACTACGTCAAACACTGCCGAAGTGAACTTTTGGGATGGATGACTTACTAGTCTGCTTAAAGATTCTTCAACGGAAATGGTTGGATCTGTCTAGTCCAACTAAACTAAGTATTAGGCCACCATCATTCAGTAAAAGGAATAAAAATTTTTATTTCTTAAATTCATTAATATTCATAACTTATTATTTCTTATTTTTCCCCCTTCGTTCTTCTCCCTTTCCTTTCGGATCACCTCACCAACAACTAGAAGTTTATTCATCGTTCCGGGTGTTTGCCCAGCCACTGAGCCACACTGGCACCGGCTTTTCCAGCCCTACATTATCCAATCGCCGGCCGGTCCCCATAATAACTTACCCGTGCAGTTCCTTTCGCTTTGCTGCTGCCTTCAGACGCCCAGAAGAACTTCACTGCTTCTTCCCTTTCCCCCCCTACCTTACTCCTGTCTGAATCCCTTCCTCGCCCTGAAGGGTTTACTGAAACTTTGCGATTCTCCTCCCACCGGTCTTGTCTATATTGACCTGCCGTCGCATACTTTCTTTTCCACTTCGCTCTAGACTCATTGTTCCCTGTACCGCCTGATCGACGTCATCTTCCGCCTCCCCCCCCAGGCCTCGGATAGAGAGGTGCAGCCACCATGGGTGTTCTACTTCGACGTCGAGACTGGTATGTTTATGGCTGGCTTGTCTGCCTGATCATCCCTGGTTGGAGCGTTTTCTAGGCTTCATCAATCATGACTGGCCCCTAGTGCTGTGTGGTACATTAGTTCGGGTGGCTGACCGTCTCTTCTAGTTATTACACCGTCAATGGCGAAGTGTGTGATGGCAGTACTTGGTATGATTGGGGTCGTTGGATCGCGTTTGCAGTCATCGTCGCTGTGGCGCTAATCATCTTCTTCCTCTTCGCGTATGCACCTCATCTTCCTGGTCCAGGATTCTGCCGCTTTGATTGGAGACTAACGAGTACGGTAGATGCTACAACGCCCGCCGTCGGCGCAGACAAGGGCTCCGACCTCACCCCGGCACCGCATGGCTTGCCGGCCCTCCTCCGACCTTCCAACAGTCTCAGCAACAAGCACAGCAACAAGGTCAACGACCGTATTACGCCGACCCTTACTACCAACAACCGCCGCCGCCTCAATACACCCCTCATCCGCAAGCTTATGGATATTTTGGAGGCCAGCAGACGGGAATCGAGCTCCAACAACCGCCGACTGCATACCACGGTGGCGAACGGGTGTACCAGCCACCACCGGGTCCTCCTCCCGAGGCGACTTCCAAGGTGTAACGCTCCGACCAGTATTCCGTGAAACGACTTCTCTCTCTTCTCCTCTCTGTCTCCAGATACCCGATCCAAGGGGGTTCCTTGCGATCGACTATTATGTAATTACCCAGGCGTCTCTTCGATGATCAATTATTGGGATATTTGTCGCTCTCTGCGTCTCATAGCGTTCCGTGCTAGGAGGGATACCAGGGGCCAACGTGTGACGGGTTTATGAGTTTCTTTGTGCCTATTTCTCAAATTTCATGGTAATCGTACTATAATGGCTTATCGGGGTAGTGTTTTTTCTTTTACCGTCTATGATCATGGCGCCAGCATTCAATTTATCATTCTGCTTTTTTTTCTTTTTTCATTTTTCTTTCTTAACCTTTCTTTTTTCCACTGCAATTATTGTCCTGAGCTGTGTGATATATGAGGTGAAGGCAGCAGGAACATAAAGAGGCCGACACCAACACAACGTGAATAGCTTATTACAAAGTACAATACTACAATATTAGGGAAGAAGGAACCGTTCCGAAGAGCGATGTTTGTCATCAAACGGTGGACCCGTCTGTCAAAAGCGAGGATGCCGATATCTGCCTGTTCTGTGCGAACTCGTATCCTGTTCGTTGGGTCGAACCCGCGCCTAATCGAAACTAGTCTGCGAAAGGGCGAACGGGGGTGAGAAGCGATCAGTGATTGTCCTTCCCCTGGACTGCTGGGATGGAGAGAGATAGACAGAGAGCCTCCATCCCTTCCCTAGGCAGCCTTCAAGTAGTAAGGAAGTAGATTGTATTCAAGTATCATTATGTCTCTCGTATTGACCGGAGAATATCTCAAGAAGGACCTACTGTGTCGAACTTCGGGAGGCTGACTGTGCCCCAAGAAACGCACCCATGTATGCCACCATGCTGGGGTGGACACCGCGACTGCCAATGAGAAGGGGCAGCATGCTGGAACAGCAGAAGAGCAAGAGGGAAACCCGGAAAAGGCCATGCGATGGGAGAGATCGACAGCAGTGGAGAGGGTCCGGCGAGGCAGGAAACGGGCGGTTTCATCTGCTGGTTAGCTGGGTTCGAGACAGATTAACCCTCCCTGACCCGGTCAGACGCTGGTATTACGCCTTGATCCAGAGTGAGATTACCTGTGTATAGCAGTGTAATACAGGCTTCTCGCTTGAATTCAATTGCGATGGGCGGACAAGCAAAGCCAGTGAGTGGCTCTCCGCAATGCGCGCTGATCTCCTGTTCCTGAGTTGAGTGCCTGTTCTTCCTCCCCAGCCCAATTTAAATCCAATTGAACCCGCTGTTGCATCCCTCGTTTTCTTCTTGTTGCCTTCTTTCGGTCGCCCTTCCACCCATCCCTTCCCTTCATTCGGCCTCAGGGACGACCTTTTCATCCCTCACGACCAAAGTCTTTCCTTTGCTGGTGGTCCGAGGAGGAATCGCATCTGGCGAGCTATTGTGTCCGCCTTGCAGATTCCCTGGCGATCTGCACATGATCCGATAAATCTATTCCAATTCCCCTGGGAGGCTGTGGCGGCGCACTGTTTCGCGGTCCGCACTACACACCACCACCACCATCATTAATTTCCACATTCATTGCCTTTCCTCTCGTCCATCTTCATCTGACGATTCGGATCTCTCTCTTTCATATTCCCTGTTTTGGGGGAAGTCTCTCCTTTTTACAAGAATAGATTATCACTATTTCTTTACACAGTTGTGTGTCTCTCCTTGAATCAATTCCGATCGCCTTGTTGAGCATTTGCGCGCTCTTCCTCTCCCTCCCTTCCTCGGTGCGACTGTCGCGCAACGCCGCAAATTGAGCCACTCATTACGATACCGAATCAGTGACAGTAGACAAAGCCAGATGTGTCTCTGCTAACCGTTCATTAAAACTGCTTACTTCGAAAACCGGATTGGAAGAACTATCCCTTGGTGCATAGTCGCTTATCTCATACTGTGCTTTTGTTGCATGACCGCGCCAGCTGTGTGTCAGGAACACGCTCTATACCGTCTTTGGTCGGCTGTGGGACTCGAAGGATTTCCCGGTGGATCGCGCACGTCTTGCCAGGATAATGAGTCCGGTGGATAAGGCTCCCGTCCCCTTGTGGGCGAGGGATGTTGTGAGCGATCTCAAGTCCGACGCCAGTACGTTTACTAGTTGGGACAAGTGCATGTCCAAGGCTTACTGCAAGTGAGTTTCTGTTTCAATCGTTGGTTATTGGATGATTCTGACCCAGATTACCACCTAGGTGGCCTGTTATCGTCGCTATCATCATCGCAGCGCTGATTCTCCTCTCCGTTATCGCTTGCGTGATCAATTGCCTGTGCTGTGGTGTGCAATGTTGCAAATGCTGTTGTGGATGTTGTTTCAAGTGCTGCCCGGGTTTCAAGAGGAAGAGGAACAAGCAAAAATACTTGGACGACCAGTATGACCAACCGCCTCCCATGCCTGCTATGCCGACAATGCCAGCACCTATGAACAATGCCTATCAGACGCCCTACCAACCACAGGCACCGCCCGTGTACCGTGGAGCAGAAGTGGCACGGTTCGATACGCCGTCAAGCCCGGCACACGGAAAGTTTGACGAGGATGCGTTGCCCGCCATGCCTACCTGGGAAAGTGCCGTGACAAAGAAGGTAGAGGATGAGGACCCCCACGCGGAATCACTCGAGATGAAACCTCTGAGCAATGCGAACCAGGAGCCTCGTCGCATGCCCTCTGGTGCCCGATCTGTTACAGGAGGCTATGGCGGCCCTCCGCCGTCGAGAATCGCAACGCCTGCTGCACCAGGCGCATACCATTCCGAGCCTCGAGGATACGACGGATATGATGGACCGGACGCTTATGGCTATCACGCGCCTGGTCCACGGTCGCCTCCGCCAGTTTCTCCATACGAGCACCAGCCGTACAGCGAATATCCCCACGAAGACCGCTTCCATAACATGTCACCGGCTCCCACGTACACCACGCAACCGCAATATATGCCCATGGACGCGACGCAACCCCATCATGCACCTACGGACGGCATGCAGCCATATCAGATGCCCATGGACGGCATGCACCCGCATTATATGCAACCAGAGCCTGCGCACTCGCACTACATGCCGCCGCACCAGATGCCTCCGGATACAGGCACGTACGGACAGCCGATGCCGATCAACAGGACATTCTCTCCAGCTCCGACGCTCCACTCGGCGATGAGTGCGCCTCGTCCGGTCCCGTACCGCCAGCCTTCTCCAGGCTTCCAGGCCCCGCCGTACCGCAACATGTCTCCAGCGACTCCCACATCGCCCCCTCCTCCGTTCTCTACGACCCCTGCGCCTCGCGAAGCCAATGAACCGGGCCGGCCCCCGAGTCTTTTGCAGAGCGGACGCAGGCCTACCAACTTTTAAGTCGCCTTCCACCCCCAGTAGCCATGATATTTTCAGCAACCGGTCTCATGACCGAAGCTGACCCTACTCGCATGTGCTTGGCACGTCCCTCCATATGGGAGCAGCGTGATGGACGCACTGGCACTCACGCCTCAAAGTAGGCTTCCAATCAAGCCTGGAAGTCCAAGCAAGCCGCTTCAGGCCACATCGTAACAGCCAAATATATTGGCTAGACCAGTGATGCCTCACCTGGCATGTCTCTTTCTCCAGAGCACCTCCTCTTGCTTCACCAGGGCACCCTGGTGGCTAATGCCCTTTTCTCTCACCCCGCTTGTACATACAAATTCTTACCCTTCGATTCTCCAGCCCGCTATGACCCAACCGAACCCTTTCTGCATGATGTATGTTTTGAATCAAATGATAGAAAGTATAACGAACGGCACCTGTCATGCCTGTACAGGGTTATTTCAGTGGCTTTACTAGAACAATCTTGAGAAATACAAGACCGTTGATCCGGTTACTATCTCCAAAGATATATGCAACCATCTTTTAAGTCTCAACACATAAATTTAGAATGAAATCTTCAGCAAATATTTTCATTCATATAATACATTAGTACACTGACTACAAAAACCCAAAACAACATACCCAGAATATCTCATCCCAATATAGAATATCCTAGGGAATAACTACTCCAGCGTAAAATCCCACTCCTTAAAAGCTTCCTTAAACGCCACCGCATCCGCCTCCTCCTCCTGAACAGACTGCACATCATCCTTCCAATTAATGCGCTTCTCCAACCCCATCAACTTGGCCATGACTCTGCGTCCGAACTGCAAATCGAACCGGAAGTCCGGACTAAGTGGCAGGAGGAGCGTTTTCTCACTTCCTTCGTTACCGTCCTCTTCCTTATTCTCAGACTGAGCCTCAGCTCCAGTTTCAGTGTCTGAAGCAGCAGCAGCCTGCGGAGGCTCCCAAATCCACACGCGGAAGAAGTCACCCGGTTCCGCGCTCTCATCACCGTCATTAGGTTGAGATTGGGATTCGAATCTTGGATACTTCAGATTCTCAGCCTCGACCTTGAACGCCGCGTCGACGAGGCCCCGGCGCACAAGGTCAGCAGGGACAGGAAGGAATTGCCAGTGAATGTGGATTCCATTTCCGCGGGAGACTTCCCATGTTACTGCTCCCAGGGAATTGTTTGCGCGGTGGCGCAGCATGGAGTGCAGGGCGGAGCGGTAGCGGTGCATTTCGGCGTAGGTGGATTGTCTGGATGTGGGGTCTGAGATGCTGGAGAGGGTGGGGGAGTGGGAGAAGGGGATTATGAGCATGTGGGAGGGAAACTTGAGTGAGGGATAGGTTTTGGAGGTGGGCAGGGGACCCTTTGCGGTGGTGAGGTAGGCTTCGTCGCCGATGGAGGTGATGAGGTGGGTTGCGATGTTGGGGTTGGAGAGGCAGAAGAAGCATTGGTCTGGGCCTGGAGGGGGCGCGCGAGCGCGCCTTTTGCGCGGGCGGTTGTCGTGATCGTCGTCGACGGCGAAGCGGTGGTAGGAGTCGCGTTGGGATTGGAGGGGTTTGCGTTTCGTGGGGATGGGAGCGAAGGGGGGTGCGGTTGTGCCGGCGGGGATGGTGAGGGCTGGCGGTGCCTTGGGGTCGAGGGTGAAGGCGTACATCCATTTGGTTTTGGTGGTTTTGCTGTATGCGGCCAGACTGATGAAGCGGGTGAGGGGTTTGGCGTCGGGGTTGTCGGTGTCCTCGGTGGGGAGGTGGAAGAAGGGTTCGCGCTCCCAGAAGAAGGCGCTGGAGGAGGAGAGGTGGTATCGTGGTTTAAGGGTTGAGCAGAGGTCGGCGACGCATTGGACTTCGGTGGGGGGACTGTCGGTGCCGGGGAAGGGGGCTTTGGAGCCGACGCGGATGTCCTTGGGCCATTGGTGGGTGATGAGGATGTCGGCTTGGTGGGCGCCGTAGAGGGCGCGCGCGTCGGATTCGGTGTAGGAGGGGTGGTATTTTTCGGAGGATTTGGAGTCGGGGTCGAGAGTGCCTCCTAGGGAGACGAGACGCACGCCTTCGGAGGTCTTGAGGGTGCCGCGACGACCCAGGAAGTAGAGATTAGGGCAGACTTCGTCCTTGGATTCGATGGCCTCGATGATGCGCGTGGGGAGAGGACGGCTACCCAGGGTGAAGTAGGTGGGAAGAGGCACGACGATGTTGCCTTGGAGCAGAGCGCTGATCTGCTCGAGTTCGTGCTCTGTGGAGCAGTCGCCGAAGAGGTCGCCGACAATGATGGCGAAGGAGAAGTTCTGCTTGATATGCAGCTTGGAGAGCTTGGTGAAGACGTCTTGCAGTTCGCAGTTGACGTCTCCGATGACGACTCTGGGAAAGAGTTAGTAAAGTACTTTGATAAGTGAGTTGAGCTAGACTTACATCTTCGACGCCATTATGGAGTAGGGGAATATCACTGGATACTAGTACTATGATGCAAGAAGCAGCTTTAACATATTAGGGTGTGATGTCGGGATTGTGTCTGTAGCTGCAACTGAAATACGTCAAGGTCAAGATACAATAATGAGGCTTCTGGTAGAAGTCAAAAGATAATGAAAAATGTATGCCAATGCGCGTTTGCAGCTTCACCAGCTGATGCTATTGAACGAGGAATATTCGAGTTATGCCGAAATCCAAAAATGGATTCGAGGAGCTTGGGCCACCTGCGTAGCACGTGATGTTAATCTAGCCTGATGTGGCTAGCGCATACACTGCATAGGGCCGGGCGGTGAGCTAATCTCCGCACCGGAAGAAGGTTGCCGCGGACCCGATGAATTTTTTTGTCTATACTATTACACAGGCAGAGGGGAGAGTTGGAGATATCCACCCCTTGACTTTTTGACGATTTATTGTAACGACGCTGCTCGTCTCGTCGCCATCATAACACATGATGGTCGCAGCGTCGTCGTCTTCGCGGGCTAAGCCCGTGAAGCGCGTGAAGGGTGGGACAGAGACGACCAAGTCGCATCGATTCGAGCCGTTCTCCCAGCGTGTCGCAAAGTTGAAGATCGACCCTATCCATCGTGTGCGCCGACCCAGCTTTGGGGAAGAAGCCGATGAGACCTCATCCTATTTCCGGTCCGCCTTCGAGCACTGGGTCGAGTTGAATCTGTCGGACAATTTCGTCCAATTTGTCCGCAAGGTGAATCCGCTGTGCGAGAGTTTGGCTCAGATCCTGTACCATGAGGACAAGATCATGAACCTGCTGGTGGAATATATTGAGAAGAGGGACAGTTTGTCTATGGAGCCGTTGCTGGGTCTCATGGCTCAGTTCGCGCGGGATTTGGGCGTCAGGTTCGAGAAGCATTTCGCTACGGCGGTCACTCTGGTGGCGTCCGTTGCCGCAAGCCATTCCGATGTCGAGGTCGTCGAGTGGGCCTTCAGCTGTTTGGCCTGGATATTCAAGTTCCTTTCCCGGCTTTTGGTGCCCGATCTTAGACAGCTTCTCGGTATCATGACGCCGTACCTCGGAAAAGAGCGCCAAAAGTCGTTTGTTGCCCGCTTCGCCGCTGAGTCCATGTCATTTCTTATCCGCAAGGCCGGCCTCGTCTACTACAAAAATACCACTCCTCTCCAGCGCGCCGTGTCCTTCCTACTTGATGATCTACGCCAGGCGGCCGAAGACGGAAACAATGTGGAGATGTACAAGGAAGGTCTTATGGCTATGTTTGCCGATGCCATCAAGGGTGTCAAGTACGGCATTCACTCCAACGGAGCCGACATTCTCAGCTGTATCTTGGACAATATCTCAACGGGCGACGATCTGCGGGGTAGTCTAGGACTCGACGTTGCAAGCGGAGTTGTGATAAACATCATCCATTGCACTACCCCGGACACTTTCGAACCGATTCTCGACCTCATCAAAACGTATATCGAAAAGAACTGTCGCAAAGGAGAGAAGCAACACGCCTCTGCATGCTGTCGACTGATTTTCCTGTGTGTTGCGACTCGCAAGGGTACCAGAGTCAAGAACTGGAAGCCTGTTCACCAGACATTGCTCCTTCTGCTCCAGAACGCTGCGGGTGCACCTAGCGCATATGCTGAGGCCACGCCGCAGCTCCTGACTGCAGTCGCGTATGCGCTCCAAGTGTCTCCGATGGATGAGATGCTGCCATTTATGCGCTCGATCATGGATGCTGTTAGCAAGGACGAACTCTCGACGCATTTCCTTGCTTTCTGTGCCACATTCTCGGAATGGGGACCGGAGAGATTCCACAGTGTTGTCCTCCCTTATTTCCAAAAGTTTGTCAATAATTCATGGCAAGAACACGAGCACGAGCTTTGCCTGGCGTTGCTCCGGTTGAACCAGGCTGGTTGCATCACGTCCGAGGTCTCCAAGCCTGGATACATCACTTGTCCTGCTTCCTGGAAATCCCGGGTCAAAGACACCTTCAGCAAGTCTGACCACAACGACACTGAAGTTACTCTACTCAGCGCCTACGCCAAACTTCCCAGCGCCTTGTCGCTATCAGCAGAACCGTCTCTCATACCCGAAATGACCAGCACTCTTCATAGCCATCTTGTCCGCGTTTTAAAGCAGAAGAGTCCTGATACCTCCGCTACAACCAAGCTTTTCTTGGGCCAAGGGTTCAAGACCTATGTGGACCTTGCGACGGCTGCTAATGAACTCGACAAGACTCTTTGGGACCGTATTAGCAAGGTCGCGGCCCAATACTCTCGCCTCCCGGTCTTCCTCCAGGCCACGTTAGACTACATAACAGCCTGCAATAAAGATATCGACATCAAAGGTTCAGCCATTGAAGAATTTGCGGAAGTCCTGATCTCTAATCTTAGTGGTCCCTCCCACAAGCTGCGGTTGTTGTCCTTGAGGATTTTGCGGGAACTCGTACTGGCTTCCGGAGAAGATGCCGAACTTGTCTCTCTGGCAATCGAGATCGAGGAGAGCCCGTTGACCTTGCAAAGTGCTAGGGTTCTGGCAATGCATGTACGCAAGCTTGCATTAGCTTATCCGCAGGTCGTTTCGCGCAGATGGATGGCTAGACTGCTCCCCAATTTCTGCTTTGGTTTGTTGTCCAAGAAGATGGCGCCTCTGTGGGATGATGCTGCTGCTGCCATGAAGTCTATGTGT